AGTGACACATTTCCTTAGCATATCTTACATTACTCGAATAAAGAGTGAACGATTCAACATAATAACAATGATAAATTCTCGAAAATAACTACCACTTGACTACCATCTAAACTGTTATCTCAATTGAGTAGGAGAGTAGTGAGATGAACAGAAATATGGTTGATAGTAGAAGACAGAAAAAGGAAAGATATCCAGTCCGACTGTTGAGAAAGGAACAGGACAGTAGCAGATAGGACAATGCAGGAGTGTCAGGTTGCCAATGAGATGAACAGATTTATAGTAGACAGTATAATAGTTGAGAGAAGGGTAGATGGTAGGACACTTCATAAGGTAGAGTAAGGTAGAGTAGGATAGTAAAGTGTAGGGTAGAGTAGGACAGTACAGAGTAGGGTAGAGTAGGATAGCACAGAGTAGGACAGTGCAGAGTAGTGTAGAGTAGGACAGTACAGAGTAGGGTAGAGTAGGACAGTACAGAGTAGGGTAGTCTAAGGACAATGCAGAGTAGGGTAGGGTAGGACAAGACAGAGTGGGGTAGAGCAGGACAGTACAGAGGAGGGTAGGCTAATAAGGACAATGCAGAGTAGGGTAGAGTAGGACAGTACAGAGTAGGGTAGAGTAGGACAGTTCAGAGGAGGGTAGGCTAATAAGGACAATGCAGAGTAGGGTAGGGTAGGACAAGACAGAGTGGGGTAGAGTAGGACAGTACAGAATAGGGTAGAGTAGGACAGTACAGAGTAGGGTGGAATAGGACAGTACAGAGTAGGGTAGGGTAGGACAGTACAGAGTAGGATAGAGTAGGACAGTACAGAGTAGGGTAGGCTAAGGACAATGCAGAGTAGGGTAGGGTAGGACAGTACACAGTAGGGTGGAATAGGACAGTACAGAGTAGGGTAGAGTAGGACAGTACAGAGTAGGGCAGTCTAAGGACAATGCAGAGTAGGGTAGGGTAGGACAGTACAGAGTAGGCTGGAATAGGACAGTACAGAGTAGGGTAGGGTAGGACAGTACAGAGTAGGGTGGAATAGGACAGTACAGAGTAGGGTAGAGTAGGACAGTACAGAGTAGGGTAGAGTAGGACAGTACAGAGTAGGGTAGGCTAAGGACAATGCAGAGTAGGGTAGGGTAGGGCAGTTCAGAGTTAGTGTAGGACAGTACAGATTAGGGTAGGGTAGGACAGTACAGAGTAGGGTAGGCTAAGGACAATGCAGAGTAGGGTAGGGTAGGACAGTACAGAGTAGGGTGGAATAGGACAGTACAGAGTAGGGTAGAGTAGGACAGTACAGAGTAGGATAGAGTAGGACAGTACAGAGTAGGGTAGGCTAAGGACAATGCAGATTAGGGTAGGGTAGGGTAGGGCAGTTCAGAGTTAGTTAGTGTAGGACAGTACAGAGTAGGGTAGAGTAGGACAGTACAGAGTTGGGTAGGCTAAGGACAATGCAGATTAGGGTAGGGTAGGGTAGGACAGTTCAGAGTTAGTTAGAGTAGGACAGTACAGAGTAGGGTAGGGTAGGACAGTGCAGAGTAGGATAAAGTAGGATTGAATGAATGTCTGAATAGGTGTAACGCAGCTTTTCGGCCTTTATACATTTTCTATCACAAATACTTGCATTATAACAAGGGGTGTGGTGTCCCACAGATATTGTAAATACTCAGATGATTGCTTGTTTTTAAGATAAACATGTCCTTTATAAGTGAATGAGATGTTTTACAGTTATTCATGTATTAGCCAGAAAACTATGAATGTTTCTACAGCGTTCGAAAACCCATAACACAGGGATATACGTTGTATTAATGTCTTATGTTGTTTTGTTTATTTCAACAAACGGTAAGTAAGTACAAGGTAATTTTTTTTAATATGCTTCAACATGGGGAAAGGGTCAGAGACATTGCACGCTTGTGACAGTTGTCCTTGTATCTAGGGGATGAGGGGTGATGTTTATGGCATTATTTGCTCCCAGACCCACTGGGTAGCCAGGTGCGCAGAAGCTATGCCTGATTTTTTTGTACAGATTAAACTTCGAAATTATACTGCATCCGCCATCTTTGTTTATTTGACTTATTGACTTTTGCCATTGACTTATTACATTCTTAGGTCCAAGTCATTTACCTGTATGCAACCCTTTGTGGACATGACAGGGTAGGACAATACAGAGTAGGCTAGAGTAGGACAGTACAAAGTAGGGTAAAGTAGGACAGAACACAATAGGGTAAGGTAGGACAGTATATTGTAGGGTAGGGTAGGACAGTACAGAGTAGAACAATAGAGTAGGACAGTACAATACTACAAAGTAGGGTAAAGTAGGACAGCACAGGGTGGGGTAGAGCAGGACAGTACAGGGTAGGACAGTACAGTAGGGCTGTACAGGGTAGGAAAGTAAAGAGTAGGACACTACAGAATAGTAGAGTACAGGGTAGCATAGTACATATGAGGATAGTAGGGTAGGGTAGGAGAGTACAGGGGAGGGTAGAGTAGGACAGTACAGAGTAGGGTAGAGTAGGACATTACAGGGGAGGGTAGAGTAGGACAATAAAGGGGAGGGTAGAATAGAACAGTACAGAGTATGGTAGAGTACAACAGTACAGGCTAGGGTAGAGTAGGACAGTGCAGAGGAGGGTAGGACATTACAGGGGGTAGGGCAGTACAGATGAGGCTTATTAGGAGAGTACAAAGTTCCGTAAGCAGGATTGGTGAAGGTACAGCATAGAAGAAAGTTACGAAGGACAGTACAGAAGAGAATATAGTTGGGCAATGCAGGGTATGGTACAGTGTGAGAGTACACAGCAGAGAAGAGTAGAAGAGGATATACAACATTTAGATTAGTTAACAACAGAGTAGGGTACTGTAGGACATAAAGGCAAAGTAGGAATATAGATACAAGGAGTAGAGCACCATAGACGTGAAAATGGCCAGACACAGATAATAGCACTAGATTCGGTAGATTGTAGATAAAACAGAAACGGTAGCTGATGGTCAAAACACGAGTTCACTGTGTTGAAGTTGAACTGCACAATGAAAGGATTAAAGAAAGATCACCATGTACGATTATTAACCTATATACTACACACTAATCTATACCTACCTGTTCCCTGCCGCTTACAGTGTTTAGAAGAAGTCCCTGGTGCCAGACGAGAGACTGGAGCTGTACTCAGCCAGGAGAGCTTCCAGGTTCTCCAGAGTGTCCTGGGGCTCCTCCAGTCTTGCCTGCTTTTCAGCTTGGGACACCTCGCTGTTGTCATCTGGGCACTTCCTCTTGCGTGAGGGCAGGGACTCCTTACTGGGCTCAGCAGTGGGTTTCTTCTTTTTCCTTAAAATCAGTTTAGTAAGATACAGATATTCCACATCATATTCATCATCAGAGTTAGGCTCAGCTCTGTCCACTGCCTTGTCAGGATTTACACTTACTGTTGCAGCAGTGAAACCACCTGACTTAGAACTCTCCGATGTTGAAACAACCTCATCATTTACATTCTTAACAGGGATAGGGACGGTCTTGCAACCTGTACTGGGCAAGACAGACTTAGGCTTTATGTAAGCACAATCAGCAGACAACAACTGTTCACCAAAACTAAGCTTAGATGAGGTCTTAATGATACCATGACTACCAGAGGGCTTAGTGATACGGTTCCCAAGGGGTTTGCTCTGGGGTTTCATGTGCCGAGCTCCAAGAGGCTGAGGCACAAAGTAGGGCTTGCTCTCAGGCTGATGCTTGCCCACTTTCTCCTTGGGAATGCGAGGCTTTGGCTGAGGTTTTGGCCTGAAAGTGCGGGGCTTGCGTTTGCAGGGCTTGAGCTCAGGTTTTCTATTAAGCTGGATAGGGGTCTTGGAATTGGGTTTGGGATTCCTTGTTGAAGATGTGGCTGGAGATTCAACAAGGACAGACTGGGAATCAGGAACTGGACTGGGTTGGTCAAGTTGGGGCAGAACACAGGAGAAGGCCTGATGGGTGATACAGTCAAAGTCTCATTTTGATTCTTTATTGATTAAAAAACAAAATCATACTTTTTGTGTTACATTCTGGTACATGTATTAGCATAAATATAATAATACCTCTGGTCTCATCAGCTGTAGGTCCATCTCTGAACTGGGCAGGCTGACAGGCAGCTGGCAGACAGGCATCATCTCCCTACGTCCACTGCAAGGTGGTGGCTGGACTGCAGGAGGCAGGGGGATACCGGTCACAGATGGCTGAACTCCAGGCTGCAGGAGTCTTGGCTGTAGGTAACCAGCACCCAGGGAGAGGTTAACAGGATTACCAGCTGGTATCCAGATAGTGTTCTGATCTACCAGACATCTGGTCCCATCTCCCATCACCACTGTTGGCAGCCCGGGCGGCAAGCGTGTCACAGGAACTACCACCAAGCAATTTATCAGTATATTAGTACTGAACAGCAGTATACATTTATAAAATGCTCAAAGTGGTGTTTAATAAAGGTTGAAGTTCTGATCAAGGCTATTCTTTTTTTACAAAATTCATTAATTCTATGTGTCTTGAAAACGTGTCTGCAGGAATCCTACAATTTCCCTTTCCCCTCAGTCGATTATGGGGTGTATCATGTTAAGTTTTCACACCGGGTACATTTAGTACAACTCAAATGTTCTGGTTAGAAATAACAACCTACAGTTATTGTGCAACTCCATAATATTAAGACCCACATACATACAATATCAGCGTCTATTTTATGCATTTAAACATATTAAAACAGCTTCATCCAGCTTTATCACTGGTAAAAAGGCCAATTACACATACCTTTCCTAGTAGGATTCATAGTTTTCTCCACCTCTTCAAGTCGTACACACTTTTAAAGCCCGTATTTTGCACGATAAAACTGCGAACACTTCCAGTGATATCTCTCAAAATGGCTGACACACAGGAAGGCCTACAGTTGTCATGACGCCGCTACTGAAGGCAAGTTCACGCATGCGTCGACTTTATGCATCACTTGGCACTTCCGTCTGCCTTTACATTTTGAAATATACACATCCACATTGGGTAAGTCACCTGTTTAGATTGGAGCTGCACAAGTTATGAAATGCGAAGATCATTCTAAGGGAAACTACTCTGGTAGAGTTTAATAGGTAAATAGAGTTACCCTTCCTGAAAGAGGATTTTATTAGCGCTTGAATGACTCACCAAATGACTTGATGACCGTTTATAATGATAAGGTGCCGTCGTATTCTATGTTAAATAAACTCCATTGTCATTGTTCCTGGTTATAATGTAATTGTTTGTTTCAGGTTTAGTATAGGTTCTTGTTTACAAGAATTGCTGCTCTACAGAAATATAAAAGGAGTAATATTAATAACGATTTTGAAAGATTTGCATAGGTTACACTTTAACTTTTTCTTTCCTTAAATTACCGTTGGCAAGGGCAGGTGGCAGTAGACAACATAGGGGTATGACAGAGGATGGAAGCTATATGAGGAGGTCGGAGGCAACGACACGGGAGATATTATTAGTTTTGTGTCTTTAGTAGCCATATACCAATACTATATGTCGTGTCGTATTAGATTAGCAGAAAAATATTTCTAACTGCTAACCTAATGTGACACCATATACGGCAACTAAAGACACCATAACGAATTTATTATGCCGAAAAGTTAACTATCATGGGGGACATGGAGGTATGAGAGGCAAGGAAACTGCGGTGGGAGGACTGACATACGGGTATGGGGGACATGGGGGTATGAGAGAGGAAGGGGACTGTAGTGGGAGGAAGGACATACGGGTATGAGGGACATGGGCGTATGAGTGGGGAAGGGGGCCTTAGTGGAAGAAAGAACATCCAGGTATGTGTGACAGGGAGGTATGAGAGGAGAAAGGGACTAGTAGAAGGACTGACATACGGGTATGGGGGACAGGGAGGTATGAAAGGGGAAGAATACTTTAGTGGGAGGACTGACATACCTGTATGGGGGACATTGAGGTACGAGAGGGGAAGGAGGCTGTAGTTGGAGGACGGACATACGGGTATGGGAGACATGGAGGCATGAGAGGGGAAGCGAACTGTAGTGAGTCCACTGACATATGGGTGTGGGGGACATGGGGGTATGAGATGTGAAGGGGACTGTAGTCGAAGGACGGACATACGGGTATGGGGGATATGGAGGTATGAGCGGGAAAGGGGACTGCAGTGGGTGGACGGACATACGAGTATGGGGACTGGAGGTATGAGAGGGGAAGGGTTACTGCAGTGCAAAGACTGACATACGGGTATGGGATAGATGGAAGTATGAGAGAGGAAGGGGACTGCAGTGGGAGGACGCACATACCGGTATGGGGGACATGGGGGTATGAGAGGGGAAGGGAACTGTAGAAGGAGGACTGACATATGGGTATGGGGGACATGGAGGTATGAGAGAAGGGGAATGCAGTGGAAGGACTGACATACGGGTATGAGGGACAGGGAGGTATGAGAGGGGAAGGGCACTGCAGTGGAAGGACGGACATACGGGTATGGGGGACATGGAGGTATGAGAGGGGAAGGGGACTGTAGTGGGAGGACTGACATACGGGTATGGGGGACATGGAGGTATGAGAGGGGCAGGGGACTCTAGCGGAGGACGGATATACAGGTATTGGATACATGGAAGTTTTAGAGGGGAAGGGGACTGCAGTGGGAGGACGGATATACAAGTATGGGAGACATGGAAGTTTTAGAGGGGAAGGGGACTTCAGTAGGAGGACGGATATACAAGTATGGGAGACATGGAAGTTTTAGAGGGGAAGAGGACTGCAGTGGGAGGACGGACATACGGGTATGGGGACTGGAGGTATGAGAGGGGAAGGGGACTGAAGTGCGAAGACTGACATTCGGGTATGGGGACATGGATGTATGAGAGGAAAAGGGGACTGCAGTGGAAGGACGGACATACGGGTATGAGGGACATAGAGGTATGAAAGGGGAAGGTGACTGTAGTGGGAGGACGGACATACGGGTACGGGGGACATGGAGGTATGAGAGGGGAAGAGGACTGTAGTGGGAGGACTGACATACGGGTACGGGGGACATGGTGGTATGAGAGGGGAAGGGGACTGTAGTGGGAGGACGGACATACGGGTACGGGGGACATGGTGGTATGAGAGCGGAAGGGGACTGTAGTGGAAGGACGGACATACGGGTACGGGGGACATGGAGGTATGAGAGGGGAAGGGCCTGTAGTGGAAGGACGGACATACAGGTTGGGGGGAGATGGAGGTATGAGAGGGGAACGGGCTGTACTTGGAGGACTGACATACGGGTATTTTGGACATGGAGGTATGAGAGGGGAAGGGGCTGTAGTGGGAGGACGGACATACGGGTATGGGGGACATGGAGGTATGAGAGGGGAAGGGGGCTGTAGTGGAGGACGGAAGTACGGAAGCTTGAGAGGGGAAGGGGACTGCAGTGGAAGGACTGACTTACGGGTATGTGGGACATGGAGGTATGAGAGGGGAAGGGGACTGTAATGGGAGTACGGACATACGGGTATGGGGGACATGGAGGTATGAGAGGGGAAGGGGACTGTATTGGAGCACGGACATACCGAAGCTTGAGAGGGGAAGGGGACTGCAGTGGAAGAACTGACATACGGGTATGGGGGACATGGAGGTATGAGAGGGGAAGGGGGCTGTAGTGGAAGGACGGACTTACAGGTATGTGGGACATGGAGGTATGAGAGGGGAAGGGGACTGTAATGGGAGGACGGACATACGGGTATCGGGGACATGGAGGTATGAGAGGGGAAGGGGACTGTAGTGGAGGACTGACATACGGACGCTTGAGAGGGGAAGGGGACTGCAGTGGAAGGACTGACATACGGGTACGGGGGACATTGAGGTATGAGAGGGGAAGGGGGCTGTAGTGGGAGGACTGACATATGGGTACGGGGGACATGGAGGTATGAGAGGGGAAGGGGACTCTAGTGGGAGGACGGACATACGGGTACGGGGGACATGGAGGTATGAGAGGGGAAGAGGACTGTAGTGGGAGGACTGACATACGGGTACGTGGGACATGGTGGTATGAGAGAGGAAGGGGACTGTAGTGGGAGGACTGACATACGGGTACGGGGGACATGGTGGTATGAGAGCGGAAGGGGACTGTAGTGGAAGGACGGACATACGGGTACGGGGGATAAGGAGGTATGTGAGGGGAAGGGGACTGTAGTGGGAGGACGGACATACGGGTACGGGGGACATGGAGGTATGAGAGGGGAAGGGCTGTAGTGGGAGGACGGACATACGGGTATGTGGGACATCAAGGTTTGAGAGGCAAAGGGGACTGTAGTGGGATGACTGACATACAGGTTGGGGGGACATGGAAGTATGAGAGGGGAAGGGGACTGTAGTGGAAGGACTGACTTACGGGTATGTGGGACATGGAGGTATGAGACGGGAAGGGGACTGTAGTGGGAGGACTGACATACGGGTATGTGGGACATCAAGGTTTGAGAGGCAAAGGGGACTGTAGTGGGAGGACTGACATACAGGTTGGGGGGACATGGAAGTATGAGAGGGGAAGGGGACTGTAGTGGAAGGACTGACTTACGGGTATGTGGGACATGGAGGTATGAGACGGGAAGGGGACTGTAGTGGGAGGACTGACATACGGGTATGTGGGACATCAAGGTTTGAGAGGCAAAGGGGACTGTAGTGGGAGGACTGACATACAGGTTGGGGGGACATGGAGGTATGAGAGGGGAAGGGGACTGTAGTGGAAGGACTGACTTGCGGGTATGTGGGACATTGAGGTATGAGAGGGGAGGGGGACTATAATGGGAGGACGGACATACGTGTATGGGGGACATGGAGGTATGAGAAGGGAAGGGGACTGTAGTGGAGGACGGACATACCGAAGCTTGAGAGGGGAAGGGGACTGCAGTGGAAGGACTGACATACGGGTAAGGGGGATATGGAGGTATGAGAGGGGAAGGGGGCTGTAGTGGAAGGACGGACTTACAGGTATGTGGGACATGGAGGTATGAGAGGGAAAGGGGACTGTAATGGGAGGACGGACATACGGGTATCGGGGACATGGAGGTATGAGAGGGGAAGGGGACTGTAGTGGAGGACGGACAAACGGAAGCTTGAGAGGGGAAGGGGACTGCAGTGGAAGGACTGACATACGGCTACGAGGGACATTGAGTTATGAAAGGGGAAGGGGACTGTAGTGGGAGGACGGACATACGGGTACGGGGGACATGGTGGTATGAGAGAGGAAGGGGACTGTAGTGGGAGGACGGATATACGGGTACGGGGGACATGGTGGTATGAGAGCGGAAGGGGACTGTAGTGGAAGGACGGACTTACCAGTTGGGGGACATGGAGGTATGAGAGGGGAAGGCTATAGTGGGAGGACTGACATACGGGTATGGGGGACACGGAGGTATGAGAGGGGAAGGGGGCTGTAGTGGAGGACGGACATACGGAAGCCTGAGAGGGGAAAGGTACTGCAGTGGAAGGACTCACATACGGGTATGGGGGACATGGAGGTATGAGAGGGGAAGGGGACTGTAGTGGAGGGACGGACATACGGGTATGGGGGAATTGGAGGTATGAGAGGGGAAGGGACTGTCGTGGGAGGACTGACATACGGGTATGGGGGACATGGAGGTATGAGAGGGGAAGGGGACTGTAGTGGAAGGACGGACTTACGGGTATGTGGGACATGGAGGTATGAGAAGGGAAGGGGACTGTAGTGGGAGGACGGACATACGGGTATGGGGGACATGGAGGTATGAGAGGGGAAGGGGACTGTAGTGGGAGGACGGACATACGGGTACGGGGGACATGAAGGTATCAGAGGGGAAGGGGACTGTAGTGGAAGGACTGACATACGGGTATGGGGGACATGGAGGTATGAGAGGGGAAGGGGCCTGTCGTGGAGGACGGACTTACCGGTTCGAAGATATGGAGGTATGAGAGGGGAAGGGACTGTAGTTGGAGGACGGACTTACGGGTATGTGGGACATGGAGGTATGAGAAGGGAAGGGGACTGTAGTGGAAGGACGGACATACGGGTATGTGGGACATTGAGGTATGAGAGGGGAAGGGGACTCTAGTGGAAGGACGGACTTACGGGAACGGGGGACATGGA